TTTAAGGCCCTGCTTATATAGAAGCTGCTGCTGTTCTTTTATGAATTCATGTGGTCAGGCAGGCTCTTTCATCCGTATATTTAGTATTAGCATAGTTTGCGAATTAGCATTTCTGCCTTAAAAAATGAAAGAGGAAGCAAGTAAAGTGTTAAGCCACAGCACAGGCAGTGATTTCCATACTTTTCTTTTTCAAATTATGCCATAAATCTTGGACTGTAATGGCTATGTAAGCAACATGGTATCACTTTAGAAAAGCAACTCTAATTTTATGTTTGTATTTATGTATTTAATTCTCATTAGATCCTTTTTAAAGCTGTACAGATTCCTGATACCAAAATTAAGAGTAGTTAAAATGGCTGACATTTGTAAGAGCCCCACAAACTGTTTAAATAATATTAAAGAATTATTGCAGGTGGTTATCTATGTTTGTATTTGATAAAGCCACCTAGAATAACATCAAGCTGAGCGGCATGAGCCTCTGGGCTTGTGACATGTTCATGTTTCTCGAAAGGCAGGAGTTTAACCCTTTACATAAAGTAGATTGCCCCAAATACCTGGGTTGACCATAATTCACTTCTGGTTACAGTGGAGCAACTAGAAACTCTGCCCTGTTTCTATGTGCAAGACTATGAAACCGCTGGAAGTCTGAGAAACCTTGCTCAGGCACTGGAAACGAAAGCAAATACTCATTGCATTATGATGTACTTTATGAGATAAAATAAGGACAATATCACATTTGCTCGTATCACTGATACTGGGTTATGTTTTTAAAGGCATATGATCCGATATAAAGTACTATCTAAAAAACAGCTGAATACCCTCAATGTTATCATCCTACTTATAACTGAACCAAATAATAAATAAATCAGACTTGTTTTCAAATCACTTATAGCCTGTTTTTTGGTTGATATTTTACAAAATATATTTTAAAACTTGAGGTATTTATACACTCATGAGACTTCAGTTTATTTTGTACTGAACAAAAATATTCTTGCTGTTGTTGATGAAGACCTTGTCTTTTTTACTGAGGGAGAAGGTTGTGTGAAGAAAACTTGTTCTGATGTTGAGGAATATATATTAGTCATTTTCCTTTTTGTTAATATTTTTAGTTCATTTTATATTTGAATTTGTATATTTTAATATGTTGATAAAATTTTAGAACTGAATCAGCTTTTATAGTAACTATTTCAAAGCAACATTTTCTGCAGAATTAGACAAATTTTATATTTTGTGTTATTTGAAGCTTAGTTGAAGTATAAAGCAGGTAACTTGTTACATGATACTGAGATTTGACATCTATCAGGCAGCGTTTCTCAGTGTTCGGAGCGCACAATGCCGATACATTCCCGTCGTTTAAGAAATCTTTGCCGTGTGTCATGGCACATTGCTAACGTGTTCTTTGACCCTCGTGTGTGGTGAGAGGACCTCACGGGGCAAGAATTACTCCAAAGAAGTATTCTGTTATAATGCTGTGAAGGAAAACACACCAGTATGTTTCCTGAAATTAAAATTTGATGTGAAATTCAATGTTTTCTAAAGGGCATTGATAAATATTGAATTATTCACTTAGTAGATGATAATTCTCTTACCTTGAAGTTCTCTTACACTGTAGAAATAGGAAATTGTATTTTGAACAGACCAAAAATTCCAAAAATTCTTTAAAACTCTGTGATCTAGTTTCTATTTACATTAGGCTTTCCATAGTATCCATCACAGTTTTGTGTCTTTAGAAAAGATTTGATCCCATCTCAAACAGTTTTTGCTGTGTAAGGAACATAAGGTAATATTGGTATGTTTTACACTATTGAGAGCAATTACATAACCTAAGTTGTGACTTTTGAGCGCTTAGAACTACTATGTTAATGTAAACATTACACTTTTGCTAGGTGAACTTTGTCCTTAAATCTTTTCACTATCTTCAGTTGAGTATCTAGAGGCAGAATGCCCATGCTTTAACTCAGACTAACATTGTATGATTTCAACCTCCATTCTTTTTGGCCAATGTGCTCAGCACTTCTGCAGGTCAAACGGCCACAAAATAACAAGAATACATAATTAATGGTCAGGTGAAAAGTTGGGCTCATAATTTGTATCACTTATCTTGGCAGAGGCACAGACTCCATCCAGAAGCACAGACTCCTCCAGCCTCAGTTCATTCTGAAAGAGGTTTCACCAAGCACAGGGACATGCAGGACATGGCACCGCGCAACGTCGCCCTGCAGCTACCTGTAGCGCCCGTGTGGGAGCCCGCTCTGACCTCTGCCACTCGAGCTAGTGGCTCCCTTTATTCCCTCCTCTTCTCTTCCCCTCACTGCGCACCTTCACTTCTCACATGTTTCTGATCACAGCTCACTGGTCTGTACTACTTGTTTTGCAAATTAACACTCATAGCCTTTCCTTTCCCCTACTCTTTGCACAGCTAATCATAACCTCCTTCCCAAGTTCATGTCCTTGTATGACTCTCGATGGTTTAATCTCCTCCTCTCACTTCATCAAGAAACATTACAGCCCAAACCATTAAAACTGACAAAGAAGAAAGAAAGTAGATTCTGGGTCTTGTAGGAACCTTTTGAAATGGTGATTCAAAACTGTGCTCACAATTCTATCAATAAGATGGAAAGAAATCCAGTTCATAACTTGTCCGAACTTGTTCGTAACTTGTCCAGATTTGTGAGCACAAGGCTCTGCTACAACGCATGTCTCATGCTGGTGCACCATGTTGTCCACAAGAAGATGCAAGTTGCACCAGCTCTGCTGTTGCTCCTGGGGAGGAGCCACTTGTGGCTGCACAGTCACAGTGTTACAGAGCTGTCACGGGTGTGTTGATCTCAAACATCAGGTAGTTGTTGGAAACTATCTACTTCTGAGGTGCCGTGGTGTCCATAATGACTCGTGTTTAGGTTTTCTCTTTCATCAAGTATCATGTATGCGATCAAAGCATTTTAAGCATTAAAATGGGAGGATTACAGTCATACAATAACTATCCCAATATGTGTTTCAAAGTGCGTGATAGAAAAGAAACATGCTGAACTCGGTACCTTTCCTCACTGTTTCCAAAACCGTCTCTGCAGGGTCCATGCTGAGATCTGCCAGCATTTGCTCCAGGTGCTTAAGGGAGTGCTGGGTTGGTTATGATGGGCAGACTGCTTGCTGGCGACCACCCGCCATCAGAGAGCTGCAATGCATAAGTTTGCTAAGAGTTTCCTTCGTCATCTGTGATGAAACTGCTTTGCATAAGGGTGATGCAGAAAAAGACTTACAAGTAAACGCTGAAACAGATATGTTGTTGTTTATCATAAAAGGAAACATATACCATGTTTACAGCTTTTTAGCAACTGAACCACACAAAAATAAAATGTCTTCCAGTGCTTTAGCCAGCTTCACTGTTAAACTAAAGGTATGTCTAACAGGCATGATGCAATGCTGTGCAAAGACATTCCAGCTGCCTGCAAACATGCTGTCCGAAGCAGCAGGAACACTAACCTGGCCATCCATCCGGACTCTGACGTCCCGCATGTCAGCAGAGCTAATGCACTGGAGCAGAATCCCGGCCTCAGGAGAGACTGCTCCGTGTTCACATTTCAGTGCATCTCTGCACCCATGCAAGGGTGCTTCATGTTGCCTTTGAATTCGGTCAATCTGTTCAGCACTGTGATCCAGAAGTGGATGCATCCTGTATCTCGACATGTGAGACATATTGACACGTGTGCTTTGCTGTAATTTTAATTTTTTAAAAGATGTGACTATATTCAAAAATATTGTATCACTGCACTGTAAAGGATCCACTGTACCAACATACATCAAGATTATTAAATTAATCACTACTGATGTAACATCTTTCGGGGTTATTTATCTATGCTAATCTTCATTAAAAAAATAAGGGGAATTGCTTAAGAACTGGAACAGACCTGTATTAATTTTGTCCTGTTATCATACATAGAACTTTACACCAGACATATATAGGATATTAAAACGTATTTTTGAATTAAATATTTGCTTTGCATTTTTACATTGTCAGTGGGATGTGCTTATACCTCTTCTCCATAATAGAATTTCCCACGTGAATCCAAGGAGGGTTTTCCTGCAAAAGTAGGATCATGTTTGAGCAGGGTAGAACTGGGGAATCACATTTTGCCTTTCTAGCCATCTAGTTATACAGAAAGGTAAAATGTCATGATTGCCAAATAACAGGATTTCCATGTAAGCACAATTAAGTTGTCAAATTGTGGGGCTAGCAGACCTAGCATTTTTGGAGGTCTGCCCAGAACAGGAGCAAGCTGCCAGTTTTTCCCAAAGAAAGGTAAACTTGATCTTTCTGTATGTAGATAATGTGAGAAAACATGCACAAGACGCCTGTAAATATCTGGAGATATGCACCTAAACAAAGAACTTCAAGGAGAGATTGACCTGAAAGAGATATTTAGGTGCAGAGAGGGGAAGAAAAAAAAAAAAGGTAAAAAATTCAGCTCTGGGAAAAGTCACTCAAAAGTCATCGCAGAAGCTTTTTGGTACACCCTTATTTAACATGCTATTTGTTAAAAAGTAATATCTTACTGGAGTGTGCGATATGGAATATATATCTTCCATGTTTCTTTGAAATGCACTTGCATGAGGAATAGAGATAGAATAGCTTGTTAGCACCCCTGTCACTTAGTATCCTTCCATTTTAGTGACCTCGCTTTACATAATGCTACATTAGTGTTTATGGTGTTTATAGTGCATATATAGTGCTACTATATGCAGGTAACCTATTTCACCAGGATAGGGACGCAGCCCAGGTGCCTGGGTGATCCCACAGAGGCCACCTCCCTAAAACCGCGCTGTTCTCTGACCCATCCTGGGTCCTGCAGTTCAGGCTAATCATTGACAGGGCTTTTACGATCTCAGGCTTTTAGAGAAGCTTTGATAAGACACACCAGCAGTTAGTGGTAAATGAAGACAGTCGGTGCAGCGGGGACTCCGGGGAATGAATGGATGTTTTTGCAGCATCTGTGAAAGAAATCCGACGTTAACACCGGCGTTACAAAAGGGAAGGATGTGTGGCCGACGGCTGAAGAGGTTTGCTGCTTTTTGGGCTCTGGTTTTCCTAAGGACAGTTACCGGGCTTGCCGGAGAGGGAAGATCCGTGTGGAGAAAGGACCCCAACTTCAGCCCTGTGAGTGAAACGCAGATGTTTCTGTATGACACGTTCCCCAAAGGGTTTCTGTGGGGCGTGGGGACAGGAGCACTGCAGGTGGAAGGCAGCTGGAGGAAGGACGGGAAAGGAGCCTCCGTATGGGACCAGTTCATCCACACGGCGCTCCGAGGTGCCGAGAGCACAGACCTTTCCAGTGACAGCTATACCTTGCTGGACAAAGATTTGTCAGCCTTGGATTTTTTGGGAGTTACTTTTTATCAGTTTTCCATATCATGGTCAAGACTTTTTCCCACCGGAGTGGTGGCAACTCCCAATGAAAAAGGACTCCAGTACTATAACAGTCTTATTGACTCCCTGGTCTACAGAAATATTGACCCTGTGGTCACTCTGTATCACTGGGACCTGCCCTGGACACTACAAGAAAAATACGGGGGATGGAAAAATGAATCCGTAATCGATATCTTCAATGACTATGCCACCTTCTGCTTCCAGACCTTTGGGGATCGTGTTAAGTATTGGATTACAATCCACAATCCATATTTAGTTGCATGGCATGGGTACGGCACAGGCATTCATGCTCCCGGAGAGAAAGGGAAAATTACAACCGTCTACTCTGTAGGACACAATTTGATCAAGGTACAGTATGATAAGATTTTATAAACTGATCTTGCACCTCCGTTAAAAAGCTATGGGAGGAATCAGTTGTGCAATCAATGGTTCAAAAAAATCAAAGAATGTGAAAGTACCATGAAATAACCCTTAGCTAAGGCAGCCTTCTTATACTCATGATGTTGATTTAATCATTATAGTCAAAGCAATAACTGTTCAATAACTGTTCTTTTTTAAGTGCCTGTTTATTGCTTTATCTCAGTGACCTTTTGCTTATGAAATCTATTAAAAAGCATGTTTTTCCTTCTTTATTCTTTCTTCATGACAGCCACACTGAGGTGATTATTCTATTAGTTTGTACAGAGGTTTTACTTGTATCTGCATACTAAATCAAGTCTACTCACGGTAGAATATATATGTGTGTGTACACATAAATGGATCTGATTAGTTCTGTCTTGAGTTTGTAGGAAGATAAATCTGTCCTTCAGCATTTAAGAATTTCAAAGTTACATTAGTTTCATACTATTCTCAGAATTGTAACTTTCATATCATTTTATTTATCAGACATCTTCTTCAAAATTACACATTCAAAGGCTTGATCCCATCATTAGCTTAAACAGCAACTATAGCCAGGTCCCAGGTTCACGGTATTCTTTACTGGGGAAAGACAAGAAGAAAAGTTTGAGGTCACAGATTATGGTGGGTCATATTTTTTAAGGCAAAAGTGCACATGTTGTTCCTGGTAGTGTCAACAGCATCACTGAGCTTACTGCATCTCTCTGACAAATTATTGATTTCATTCTATAGAGTAGAATATAGGTAGACAGTCCTATGCATAGGAGCTTTTATTCCTATTTTATTTAAGGAACAGGTCACTATCTTGTCTCTGCTGACCTGAGATCAAACCATTCCTTGACGTATCCAAGAGAGTTTTTCTACTAGCTGCTCTGTTTTATAATTCATAAATAAATATGAATATATTTATCATGGCATATTAACATGGAGGGAAAAATAGTAACTCTCACAGAAGTTAAAAATATTTCGCAATTGACCTTTTCTATTTCTTGCATTTGCTTCTGGGCTTGAACCTGCAGGCTCAATGGGTGCTTTACACAGACAAGTCACAAATGCTTTGGGTCACTCACTGATTTAGCATGAGAGAGGCACAGTGCATTGTGAAACAACTCGAAAATACCTGATGCTCAGCCATTTTTGTTATTTTAAAGTGCTATTTAAAACATGATTGATAGAGTGCATGTAAAGATACAACACATATATATCTAGTATTCTTTCCCTCATTTCTCATTGGCACAGTAGATCATTTCAAATGGAAATTGAGGTATTAGCTGGGTAACATATGCATTTTCTCATACTGTAGAATTACTCTAAGCACCAGACAGCACATACAGAGCAATGTCTCTGCTGAAGAAGCAGTTAGGTTTTCCAGTAAGCCAAACGTGTCAGGTTTGGTATACAGATTACACAGCTAAGTTCCTTGATCTGTATTACATAGCTGGCAGACTTCGTGATCTGTTAGCTGTTAAAATCAGTGAATCTGAGTATAAAACATAGTAAATTCAAGAAAAGAATTAATGAGACTTTCAGCAACATGCAATGAAGTAGCTAGGTTTTTATTCTGGAGTAGAAACTGCATTCATGTTACATCTTTCCTATGACACCATGCATACTACCTGCATTTATTCTGTGAAACAGTAAAATTTTGGAAGATTCTCTGTCTTCTTTACTGTGAATCTTAAATCTGTAGTAAAGTATTAGAGGAATTGTATTAGATGAGTTTGGGGTTGGGAAGTGGATGCCTTTGCAGAACCATTCAGCTTGAGTCAATTCTTATATTTTCTTAAAATATTATATTCTTAAATATATATACACACATATTTTTTTCTGCAGTTAAATCTAATTAAAGTCAGTCATTCTACAGAAGCAGTTGGCAGTACACATTTAGCTAGCCAGAATCTTTTCTCAAAGATTTTTTTGCGTATCTTCATTTTCTCTTTGTCTAGTTTTGTTGACAATAGTGTATAAATATAATGTACTGATGCACAAACAGTAGTCATGTGCTGTGAAATATCTCTCATTAGATTAGGAAATGCTATAAAAATCTTTCTTTAAAGAGATATCCTGTGACTTTATTCTTTCAGAACTGGTACATGCAAATCTGTTTCTCTGACATTGTATTATGGATACATTTGAATTTACCACTGCCATACAAAAAAAGTCCTCTCAAAAATAAAAGACAAACAAAGATGTGAGATTTTGGGGGGTATCTTCAAAAGCCTGATAAAGTTATTGAAAAGATTATCGTTTATGGCTTTCGGAGGAACCACATTCATTTAATGTCAATGTTAACTTCCTGCAGTCGGCTAAAAAGGACATTATTCTCCATGACACTCTATATATACTACCAGGTCCACCCATTGCTAAGCAGGAAAAACAGGTTTGAAATGTGCAAAAGAAATGAATGTGGCCACCACTGTGTGTGGCCTGAGAAACTGCTGAATAATCATTCTAATGCCTTTTTATAGAAATATATGGGGTACTTTGGGTTAAAATAAAAGTCAGGCTCTCTCATAAATGAGCCTTGCTTTTAGTTTCACTTGACAATGTAGTACTCCCTTTTGCAAGAACTAATCAGCATTTATATAAAGGAGTGCTTTTATGTGGTATTGTAGTATGTCAGTCATAAACTGAAGCTATGTTTCGAACAATGACAAAATGATACGACAAACCATAAATCTCTGTTTTTCTGGACTTTGGATTATTTTATTATAAGAACAATCTGAAAGTTGCTGGATGAAAGATGAAGAAATTTCTGTTCATTCTTAACTAGAAATTTTAGTCTTTTTCAAGCGTGACAAAATGTTTTAGCAGCAGCTTAATACTAAAATAATTGGATGGCATGAGAAAACATGCATGTATAGTAAAATATGATAAAAGGAATGAAACGCTTCCATAAATGAATTTATTAGGTAGAGAATTATCTTGTTAAGGATTTTCTTCCTGCAAGTAGGATTTACCTGTCATTACCAAGCCTCAGGGATGCATGGTCTTGCTAGCACAAGATACTACAGATGCTCTGTCCACTAATACATGAGCTTGCCTTCCGTGGTGAGCATCCTTTTGAGGGAATGCCCCAGATGCACCTGCTAAAGAGCCAGTCCTGCCTTCTACAAGCGCCTTGCTCTTCCAGGCACACAGAGAGGGCTAATAGTCTGCAGAAGCAAAGGCTGCCAAATAGAGTGTTTGATGGATACGCATGAGGAAAATCTACAGAAAATCTACAATCTCCTGAAAAGCTCAAAGAAAAAAAACATTTTAAAAAACATATTTGCACATTACTATGCATAATATTCATAGGCAGAGGCTAATAATTGCTGTTGATCATTTTAAAGCATGTGATTCCACTTCCAATGAAATGAACAGGAAATTAGCAGTCTGAAGCTCATAAATTATAAATCGCTAAGGGACTCACTTAGCTAAGTTTCTATTCAGTCGTATGATCATTGTCATTAACATGAGGAACGGATGTGAAATTTTACTGCAAATCCAGAGTGAGAGTCAAACGTGCATCTCCTTTCTTCATTAAAGGGCACTGTGCTTTATAAAGGCATGATCGAAAAACAATTAATGATAACACTGGTCCTGTCATGCAACATTGATAAGTGATATCAAAGAAGATAAAAAAGCAAGCATGCCCCTAAGGTGTTTGTCATACTGAAGCAGAGAAGAAAAAAAAAAGCACAAAGAAAAATTAGATGGATTTCTTTGATAAAATAGTAAATAAATCCAACAATGAGGAAGAAAATATATAGCAGATGAATCATTGTGTTTGGAACTAAAACAGGTATTTATCCAACCTATCATCATTTTCTCTGGATTTAGTTATATTCTTTCTATATATCACTTAGACTGAGATGTGTAAAGATCACCAATTACAGGCCAGGCTGTCTTCTTTTCTTCCTCTGGATGGGTGCCCTCCAGGCAGTTCGGCCTTTGCTAGGTAACAGGAAGAATGGGATCTTTTTTCCCCCTGTTAAAGATTATTCACAGTCCCTTCCATCTTGCACGAATACTCAGGAGAAAACTATCAGAATAAGGAAATCTCCCTATTTTTTTTCTTCATGGAAAACTCCTTCATAGTAGGTGATATTGGGAAAAGGCAACAAGTTCCCTTTCAAGCACTGCATCGTGCAGACTCATTATAGATCAGGTTGTCTCTGTGCTTGGCTCCATGGTATCAGTCACTGTGCTAGGATCTTTTCATGAACACTGGGACCTTTGGAGACGGATATCCCAGAGAAGTCCCATAATTCAGTCTCTTTTAAAATACATTTCTACAGAGCAAATGGAAAAATTCACACAGTAGCATGAGTGAATAACTTGTCTCTAGATCCCACCAGATAGTTTCTTCCCTTTCTCCAAAGAAGCCTCCTTTCCCCAGGATCTAAGAAAATGAAGCCACGCCAAAGCCAATATTTCTTCTAGGAGGACTGGAGATCTGTCCCCATCAGGTGTAGCTTGAGGACAGACAGCAGACGTGTCTGCGTTTGTCAGCTTCATTGCTGGAAGAAGCTGATGCCCATAGCGTTACTGGAAAAGCAGGACTACCCATTAATGCAACATTAATACCCATTAGTGCAACATCACCTACTTGTACTGATAAACTATTGCCTTTTCTAACACACTCCTTTTCTAATATCTGTATATCATTAAATTCTAATAATTTGTTATTTCAAAAATATTTAGATTTGCCAAAGGAGATTGTATTTGTGCAGCGGACGCACATTAGAAAGAGGAGAAAAATATTTGATAGATCAAAGAGGAAGAGTGTGGGATAAATGCCTCCTTTTTGGAAAACCTTGAGTCCACAAAATTTGTTGACAGCCAAACATTTTAAATTTAGAAAGCACAAGCAAGAGGCCAGAGACGGACATTCAAAACAGCTGTGTACAACAGAGCCCCTCGAGGCTCTTGGTGTCTGCAAAAAATCAGGCAATTTTTAGCAAGGTGCCAAATATGGAATGAATTAAACAGCTGAATGTAACACAACAAAAATTAACAGTGTTAGGCTCTGGATTGGCACTTCTTCCCAGTGGGGATGAAACCTCTCTGCATTTGTCACTGCAGCTGTGCTTAGGTTGCCTTATAAAGGTCATAGAGTCTTGTTTCTTATACTAAGTTCATATAGAAAAAATCGTTCATGGAAATCGTTAGAAAAAATAAGTGCATTGACTAAAAAAAGTGATGCATCAGAAGAAACCCACATCAAGGTTTTCTTTATTTTTTCCTTCTAAAATACCAACAAAACATTTTCCAATGCATATCTGGAGATTTAACTAGGGAAGGACACCTGGATGGTGTCTATAGCCTATCTGGATGGTGTCCATAGCCTATCTATCACCTGGATGGTGTCCCTCAAACACAGCTGGTGTCTGGGGACCTGGTCTAACAGAAGGCACAGGGACCAGCTTGTTTCAGTAGAAAAGGGAGGCCCAGGAGCTGAATTCCGTTACCTGGGACTTTCCCACCTGACCCTCGTAGCTGCTTCTGTTCTTCATTGCTTCAGAGCAAAAGCTTTCACCTAACCATGGATATTACTGCTGATTTGCCTCAGACAGCCCAGGGTGCTTGACAATTTCCAAGCATTTCACAAAAGTTCTAGCTATCCCCTTGCTCTGGAAATCAAAAGCAGAGAATATAACTGCAAATGAACTACAGCCAACTCTGCTGTCGTTTATTAGGACTGCTGATATTTGAGTCAGGGTCCAGTTCCCATGGGCTTCTCAAAGCCCAGTCTAGTGGACTCGGTAATTACTGTTAATGGAACGATAATTACTGTTAATAAATATGATGCTATTAAGTATTATTATCCATAACATAATGGGAAAAATAAGCACAATGAAGTCAAATGGCCAATTCAAATAAATGTCAGGAAAAGAAAAAAAAAGAGTTTTACAGACTAAGACCTTCTCTGTCATCAGTTAGCCTGCTACCACTGTGGGCTCTGACAGTTTTATGCTGTTTTAGATGGACTCCTGTCTCTTCCCAGAGACAAATGAGTTCAGAGGCAGTATTATGTCAGCTCCAATTTTCAAACAGCAGCAGTCACCAGTGATAACAGTATTTTGTATGTCTTAGGTCAGAACTGATTCAAACTTTTTCATGGGATTTATTGTTTTCAGGTTGGTTTTCTTGTAATTTTTGGGAATCACAAAAAAATGATCCAAATGCAAGCCAGTTAGCATACAACCTCAGCCTTCACTTAGCTGCCCATCAAGAGCCCTTTTTTGCTTCAGGGGGATTCAGCTTCAGAAGCGGTTTGCAATTTAAGTAAGACTTTAGCTCTACTGACCACATGTCATCTTTAGCAAAGACCTCAAGTGCCTTGAACTGAAACAGACTCCAACTAAGCCATGAATGTCCATCCTTCTTTTAAGGTGATGTTTATTACTGTAGTTATCACACTCTGTGTTCTAGCTCTTCATGATTTAAAAAGTGAACAAAGCCAAAATCATTTTACTCACATTTTGATTTAGTTCTAATTATTCTAAACTGTTCTTGCTCTCCAGCTCACTAAAATAATTCTGTATGTGCATGACATTTTGTCTGCTCATTGCTGTGGTATTCAAGGAAAATTGCTCGACTTTAATCAATGAGCTTGAAAGTACATTGTTGCCTATGTACAACATAACTACAGGATCAGAGTTGAAAGGAGCATGAGAAATATTTGCAACAAGAAAGGAGAACAGTACTGTTGTCTTAATTCTATAAAATTGACTCATTTTATCTAGCCTTTTTAAGAGGTTAGTACTAACTGATTTAACATTCTCTGTAACTTTCAAGTCTACGGAATAACTGCTGTATTAATATCAGGAAAATATGCTGAAATTAATGTCATATGTATCTAGAATAAATATACAGTATTGATCGTGCTTTCAGTGTGTACTTAGCCTTGACATTTGTCCTTGATCGAAAAGGGAAAATGAAAGATTAGGGATTAAACTCTAACCAAAAAAAAAGATTAGTCAAAATTTACTCAAAACAGCCAATATGATGGGAGATATAACTTTTAAATTGATGTTTATTTCATGCCTAGTCTTACAAAATAAATACTATTAATCAGTTGGTTCCATCAACAAGGATAACTTGCATTTAGAAAAACCCTTCCATCTGAGGACATTAAGCTGCTTTATAAATAATTAACAACTCAAAACAACATTATCGGCAAGCAGATGCTTGTTGTCTCTGCTATATCTGTAAAGCCTTTAACAAAGACTGCTAAGTCACAGTCTGACTACAGCTAACTCTCAGAATTAAGAGATATCAGTGATTCTCATCAATTCTTGAAAATCCTTTCTTGGCGCCATTCAAAAGTACTTATCTGTACCAGACATTTGCACCTGCAACGTCATACCTGTGGCTGCATTCTCACCTTCAGACAATATTTTTAATAGTAGGTTTAGTTGCTTTTAATCAACTCCCAAAAAAGCACATAAATATAACAATTTCTCCCCGAGTATCTTTCACTAGTCACCAGTGCATTCTAGTTAGCTGCTTTTTAACAAAGCCGCCTTTCCCCATGTCTTCATCTAGACACATTTAATTGCTAGGGTTTATCTTGTGCCACTGTAATGCTGCCTGGCACTGTGAATAGTGCAGCTGACTTCTGCAGAGGTTTTCTTCTGAAGCCAACACAAACATATATATTTCATTAAACAGTTGTGGTAGTTGGCTGTGCCTGGGAAAAATAATACACCGACCACATGAGAAATCACTAGACACAGAGACCTGTGAAAGCTAATGCCAGAGCAAGCCCTGGCCACCACAGCCACCCTGGAAAGCTGGATGGACCTTTGGGAGGAGACCACAAGGTAACTAAGGCACTGGCCATATACATTTTATGATGAGATACTGAGTGGCCACTCTGAAAATACTGTACCTGTACTTTGCAATTTGCCCCATGGATGCAATTTTGCTGACTTCTTTTTTTTTTTGGCTACAGATCCTGCAACTCGTAGTTTAATGTTGCTTTATCAGTATTTTCAAAGACAGGGCTTGAACCAATGTTATGAGCATGACCTTAGAAACCATAAACAACTGATACACAAAATTTCACAAAACTGTAATTTGTTGGTAACCTCTAATTTAGCCAAATATCTACCTGACATCAGCCACTCTCTTTAAATGGCCAAGGCTAGATAAATTAACTGAAGTTATTATCAAATTTAAGCAATGCTATTTGGCTTGGTAATGATGTCAGTGTAGCTCAGTTTCACAATGTTTCTCAGTGCTTTTTCTGCAAACAGTTATTTTCTTTCCAGTTTAGAGTATAGAGCCACTCTTCAGGAGTAAAGTAAACCTAGAGTTACTTGATAAATCCACTTGAGCTGTGATGAGGTCAGCAAACTTCTCTGTGTCAGCTCCACTGCAGTGATTCATCTTGAACCATCCCTCTCCCACAGCATGGAAACACTGCGAGCAGCACCTACATTTACCATCTATTCCTTTCAATGTATAGGTTATAGGTAAAGCATGACTACTGTGTTCTCTTATTTAAGTAATTAATGACATGTTGTTTTATGGTAATTCTGGTGTGTGACCATGTTAAACATAATGATACCTAGAAAAGCTGAATTAAGAAATGGTGCAAAATACCCCTTTGTTGTCGCTAACACAATTAGCAAAACTTCCCTCTGTCCCAGGGAAGCCAATATTTGGTCTACTATGAGTACTAAAAAATGCCAGTAGATATTATGAGATAATGTTGCCAAATTTTGTGTTAAAACCAGTGCATTGTTGCTCTCAAAATGAATGCTCAAAACAAATACTCAAAATGAATTAGCCACATTCTGCCCTGTTTTGTGTACTGTGAAAGAAATTACGATTACAGCAAATTCCAAAAAGAAACGAACTAAAATCATGGTTTCTATACAATAACTATATCAGCAAAGACTACTTTACCTAGAACTAGATGAGGCTGTCTAGGTCACAGAATCCAAACCCCACCAGGAACAGCCATTCGGTCCCAAAGTGTCCGTGCTAGAGCTATTCCATGTACCTCGTAGGATGCAAACTTCATGTTAGAAGACCAAAAGTCACAACGGAAGAACAAGTATTAGATCCAGCTCCTGTCTGTCTAGCTGCGCACACACACACGCACGCACGCACTGTAGAGTATTACAGGTTAACATTGTTTGTTTCCTCATCAGGCTCATGCAAAAGTTTGGCATAACTACAAAACACACTTTCAACCACATCAGAAGGGGCTGATGTCCATAGTATTGGGATCCCACTGGATCGAACCTAACAAATCAGAAGATGCTTTGGACATTTCTAAATGCCAGCGGTCTATGGAGAGAGTGCTGGGGTGGTTTGCTAAACCCATCTATGGGGATGGTGATTATCCAGAAGAACTGAAAAATGAACTCTCTTTTCTGCCAACTTTTACTGAGGATGAAAAGAACTATATAAAGGGAACAGCAGACTTCTTTGCATTCTCCTTTGGTCCTAATAACTTTAAACCTCCAAACACTCTGCCAAAAATGGGACAGAATTTGTCACTCAATTTGAGGGAAGTATTGAACTGGATTAAGCTGGAATACAACAGTCCTCGAATCTTGATCGCAGAGAATGGCTGGTTCACCGACAGCCACGTGAAAACGGATGACACCACCGCCGTCTACATGATGAAGAACTTCGTTAATAAGGTTTTACAAGGTTTGTACACAAATTACTTTGGGGGTTTCAGAAGTTTTGTTTTTAATCATTAAATATTTAGCTCTTTAATGATTTAATTTTTTTTAAAAAAAAGACATAACTGGTAACTAAGTTAAATATTAATTATGTCTCCTACACAAGCACAAGTTGTGGATCAGGACGCACTGGTGCTGGATGTTGTACAAACATAGAATAACAACACAGCCCCCGCCCCCAGAAAGCTAAAGTCCAACATCTGGCTTTGATTTGAATGCCAAATAAGGTACAAAATTGAGTCAGAAATGAATGGAAACAAATATAGCACCTATTGCTGTTCACAACTGGCAACCCAACTGAAAGGCCCACATCTGGGCACGTACCTTGAGAGCATGAAGTTGGGGCCAAGGCTGCCCTTTGGTCATTGCTCATCTGGCCTCCTTCACCAGCCTCAAACACCCCAACCGCAGCAGCAAGAGACGGGCAGGCGGGTGCCAGGCTCCCTGCGTACCAAACAGTCATAATGATTAAATATACTTTTTTAACTCTTGGGAGTCTACCTTCATAATGCCAGTGTGTATAAACACTGCCTGGAGGTAAAGGATTTAGTTTCATATGAAATGTAAACAATGTTAATACCAAATCCCTGTATAAACTCGGCCTTGCTTTTCCGCAAAGCCGGTTTCCTCTTTTTGGCTTTCTGTGAGTGACACCTGCTGGTTCAGGAGCCACCCTCAAGCTCAACGGCCGTGCTTGGCAGGCATCTCTGCAAACCAGGCCCTGGCTGCTCTCCTAGCATCACGGGATCTGTCATATTATGATAGGATGGCTCAGATCACTTTTTAAAACAACAAACAAACAAAAACTTCCTCATCCTCAGAAAAGGGAGCATACAAAAAATCATCTGCTGTGACATGAGTAAATGGTGGAAGATAAGGACACACTGTACTGCCAACAGACATGATTAAGTTCCTAATGAAGAATTTTTCCAGCCATATTTAAATTGGAGTTGGTCCAAAATGTACCCTATAGTCCAAATTTTCCAGATTTTCAGCAGGTTACAAAACAGTGCCTGGTTATGATATTTTACACATTACATTGATCGAGGAGCAAAGTTTAGATGCCAACCTGGATTTGAATGTAGGTGCATTTTTCCAACAGCTGTCAGCTCTTAGCTTGAAATAGACTTCTGAACACTCACATAAGATCATTTAGGTCTTTCTAATCTCTGAACACATTGTTATATGCCAAGTCACAGTGGGATAGTGACTGCTGAGATGGCAGTTACATGTGTGGTGCTATATTGTGCGTGTTCAAGGAGGCCGCCGTAAACTTTGCTCTATGGCCTGAGGTGCTGCAGGATCACTGAAATATGTGATGTATAAAGTCACCTCTGCAAGAGAGCTGAGCCCTCTTGCTACACAAGTATGCAGTGCAAACTACACCTTTTTGTTGACATGCCTAAGCCTGTCAATACTGAAATGTTTTCTAGCAGCACACCTAAACCTGACCTCGTCTGCCATGGAGTAAAACAAATAGAGAAATTCATACTGGTTCAGAAAATCCTGCCTCCTCTTTTTCTTTGATAGCTGTTTTTTAGCTGCCCCTTGAGCAGCCAGGCCTAGGTAAGCAAGCAACCCAGCGCATCTGGGGCCAGGCCTGGAGAAGCTGATCCTGGCAGGAGAAAACAAGCCCATAACCTACTTGCTTGAAATATTTCTCTGCTGGTGGAGAGGCAGCCAAGAAACATTGTACCTTTGGTTTTCCTTTGTATGGACATATGGCCGGATGCTACTGATTTACATTCCTCTGTGGTCTGTCACCAAACCGTTTCCAACATCTGTTAGGGATGTTGTCAGTGACGATAAAGGAATGCTAAGGAAATGGCAGAACCACATTAACACCAGGAAACTACAGTGTGGGGGGAAGAACAGAATAGTTCAATTTTCAATCAAAAAGCCTTTAACTGAGAGAATAAAAACATATGGTATAGGCTCTGCTATGCAAAAGTTGATTCTTTCTATGCTTTGTTTCTTCTCTTTGTTGCCAGGTAGACAGCTGCCTTTCCAAAGCACAGAGCTAGCTCACTGTGCAAATATCATAAGTTCCTACATAGCCAAATTTCAATATTTTGTCCTCATGCCCAAGGACGTAATTTTTCCTATACAGAGACCACCCTCCTCTTCAGACCTGATCCTCCCTTAGCTTTGGAGGCTCCCTTGTCTCAGTGTCTAGTTGTTTATGCAGCACACCTTGGGCAGGATTTTGACTTCTGTTGTCTTCTCTCTCTACCACTTTCCTCTGTTGCCTTCTCTCACTTGCTTTCCCTTTCACTCCAGACCACACCACAGACTTCCTCTGGCTCTGATTCACAGATTCAGCTTCATCTATCACAGGCTGCCACCTAACATCCACCGAAGTATTAATGCTTCTTACTAGAGTGTGTAAATATATATATACACACACAAACCAGAACTTTTTCCTCCTTGTTCAAACAGCCAAAAATTCTCACATAGACATTGACTATCTTGAGAGCCTCATGTACTGCAGTATCTTTCACTTTGGCAATTTAACTTAGCCCCCATCCATCAGAATGCATTTACAAAGTTTTTTTTCAGTCCGCCACTTAGGCTGTCGCTCTATATCCACTGCTATTGATCCAGCCTACCCAATTGCAGATGTGAAGTACTCATCTTCACTTACAAGGCCCTTCTGGCCCCTCACTTTCTTCTATGTCATTCTCTGTCTCCAGGTTTTGAACTTGATATTTTCAGGTGTTTTAGTGACTTCTCCTGTGCTTTCCCTCATGCTTGGGAGTTATTTTTCTTGAGAATGAATGCAAAACTGCTTCACATTATCCTTAAGAATAATGCCTTCTCCATGATGCTGTATGAAAGTTAAAAGTTGGGTCTCTGTAGTATCTATACAGCCACCTGTACACCTTTATCAATGCCATTTCATTGCTTCATTGCGCTCCGCCTTCTTCTTGCCAGCATTCAGGCATAGTCTAGCTCATGTTCAGATTATAAAGTCACTGACTTCCTGATCTCTTTATCCAGCAGCTGGTAAAGATGGGATCTTGGACCTCCCTAGTATTAGTGAGAACTTTGCTCCTCTGCTGAGTGAATACCAGCACCATACAACATCAGCTCCCAGTGAAGTAATATGGCATGTCTAAGGCAGAGAACTTCAGCGGAAACGTGCTGCACTAATTGCAGTATCATCCTAAGAAAACAAGGCAAAGTAATATTGTTGAGAAAAGAGTTTTAAATTAGAATATTTCATCCTTCTTGCTTGGCTTACTCTCATCAGCCCTCTTGATCATTGCCCTTGATATGCCAACCCTTACGAGGTTAACGTGAGGAGCCCTCCCTAGGAAGAAGGTGGCAGCTAAGCTGACCGATGATGAGCTTTGGACCATCTCATGGCGGTGTCAGCTGGCACGCAGCCTGCGTGGGTGACAAACAGCTTTTACTGCTTGCTGGCTTAGTAAAAAAACATTTTGGAAATCATGAGGCCATCCCCATTAATCAGGCTCCACATCAGGGAAAGCACCCCTGTTCTTAGCATGAAGCCATGATTTTTATCACCTTTCTCAACAAAGTACCAACATCTCAAAGGTGCTAAAATATACAGTGTTATACAAGTTTTGACAAGGTGAAGGGACTATCAGAAGAGCCTGCAGAAACATACTGTATGAATAAATCCAGCACTTCTCCCTCTGCACTGGTGAAACCAGGTTCTTCCAGAGTCATTAAGCATTCACAGACATTTTTTTTTCAATTTAGAAGTTAAGTAAGCATTTATAAAGGTTACATGTTGAAGATAACTTTTAAATAAAGGAGGGCATTAAAAAAACCATAGCCTGATAACAAGTGCAAATGAAGCAAAAACTAGACAAATTGTCACAAGCCTGATTTTTAGTCATGATTCTCTAATTTTACAGGTGCAGATTTGTTATTTGCAAACCACCAAATACAGATTAAAATCTGCCTGAGCCATAGTATTTCATGCTTGCTCAGAGCAGATATAATCTAACCTACAGTAATTCATTTTTTTAAGGAACCAGTGATGACTAAGTATCTTGCTAATAAATAAGGACTATGACACATGCCTGTCACAGTTTTGCAATGAATTACAATAGGCCAAAACTGCCATGAGCACTGAAAAAACTCCTGAGATTTTTCAAAGTGAACAGACATCTCTCATAAACCATCCTTTACTTATTAGATCCTAAATATAAAACTCACGTTTGCTTTCTTTTCCTGTACAGCTATTAAATACGACAAGATAGATGTGTTTGGTTACACAGCCTGGTCTCTCCTCGATGGCTTTGAATGGCAACACACCTACAACATCAGGCGTGGGTTGTTTTATGTGGATTTCAAAAGTGAGAAAAAGGAAAGGATCCCCAAGTCCTCTGCACTTTATTACAAACAAATCATACGAGAAAACGGCTTCTTCCCCAAAGAGTCTACCCCGAGTCTGCAAGCTCAGTTTTCCTGTGACTTCTCCTGGGGCATCACCGAGTCTGTTGTTAAGGTAAGCGCTAAATCCTGGCAAGACTGTGAGGGGCAAGGCAGCTAGCACTCTCACTTTGGCAATCGAAGACCGCAAATTGTACCTGTCAGCCAGAAATCTCAAAGCACCCTGCACACACAAGTTAGGCTTGGCTATAGTTTTATGGGTTTCGTTTTAGCCACTCGAGGGTTGTTGTGGCACAGGGCTGCACACAAGGCGTGTTGCTGCGGGAGCCCTTCCCTGGGCTCGCACCAGGAAATCTCCAAGCAAGAAGCTGACCCTGACCAGGGTTTACTGGGTTATTTTTCAACCAGCGGAGTTTTCAAACACAGGTCATGGCCAGGCCCTGCTGGCATCAGGAAGGGAACAAGCGCTGGTGCCAGAAGAGAAGCTCCTGAGTGGGGCAGAAGTACAGCCAGGCTCAGTGCAGGGATTGAGACACTGTTTCCCCACATGGAAAAGCAGCCCTTCTCTAAAGGGAAAACACACCAGCACCACAGGTGACAACAGCCTGCATCTGTACGCATGGCCCATATCGACCAGGCTCCCAGCATGTCCCCACTGTTGCATCAGCTGTGTGAGAGCTGCATGACCACAGGGTGCTCCAAACCAAGGAGATTTATCTGAATAACAATATATACAGTGTAGGCTGGTGACAGAAGGCAGAACTTGCTGAAGTTAACAGGAGAACTTCTTACATCACATTACGTAGCTGGAGAGGAGAGCTGCTTTACTTTGTCTTCCATACATGAAGGAACAGCATGGGTAACGTACAAACATTACTGTAGGATTAGCACAGGTAAAGCACATAATAGGCAAGCCTGGAGCATCTGAGCAGGACATCCAGCACTAATCCAATAGCACAACACATGTAGTTATGCAAACAAGCAGATATTCATTTAATTAAAACCTCTGGTAATACTTTCTTATCTTCACAGGCAGAATCTGTGGCCTCCTCGCCCCAGTTCTGCGACTCCAACCTGTACCTCTGGAATGTCACGGGAGACGGACTCTTGCACAAAGTGGAAGGAGTGAAGCTGAAAACCCGACCGGCACAGTGCACAGATTTTGTCAGTATTAAAAAGCAGCTTGATCTGCTGGAAAAAATGAGAGTCACCCATTACAGATTTGCACTTGACTGGTCGCTCATCTTACCCAATGGAGATCTGTCGGTCATCAACAGGCAGGTTCTTAGGTATTACAGATGCGTGGTTAGCGAAGTACTGAAACTCAATATTCAATCTATGGTCACCTTATACTATCCCACTCATGCCTACCTGGGCCTGCCAGGTCCCCTGCTGCAGACAGGAGGGTGGTTAAATCAATCCACCGCCCATGCTTTTCAGGACTATGCGGCTTTATGCTTCCAAGAACTCGGCGATTTGGTTAAACTGTGGATTACAATAAATGAGCCCAACCGCCTAAGTGATGTCTACAACAGGAGCAGCAATGATACCTACCAGGCAGCACACAATTTATTAATAGCACATGCCATGGCCTGGAAAATATATGACGAGCGCTACAGACCCTTCCAGGCCGGGAAGGTGTCCCTGTCGCTGCATTCGGACTGGGCTGAGCCGGCCAACCCCTACTTCGAGTCTCACGCGAAGGCCGCCAACAGATTCCTGCAGTTTGAAATAGGCTGGTTTGCTGACCCAATATTTAAGACTGGGGACTATCCAACTACTATGAGGGAATACATTCTCTTTAAAAATAGAAAAGGCCTCTCATTCTCCTCATTGCCCTCATTCACACAGGAGGAAAAGCAGCTCGTCAAGGGTGCAGCTGACTTCTATGCACTGAATCATTTCACCACCAGATTCGTGATCCATGAAGCTCAAAACGGGAGCCAGTACGAGTTTGATCGTGATGTTCAGTTTCTGCAGGATATCACCTGCCTGAGCTCCCCTTCCCGCTTAGCCGTGGTCCCCTGGGGAATCCGCAAGGTCCTGAAGTGGATTAAAAAAACCTACGGCGACATCGATGTTTACATCACAGCAAATGGAATAGATGACCAGTCCTTGGACAATGATGAGCTCCGAAATTATTACTTAGGAAAATACATACAAGAGGTTTTAAAGGGTGAGTATATGATAAATTCATTCGATGGTAAAACATGCGTGAGGAGATCTGGAGACAGAGAGACACAGAGGAAACATGACAGCTCACCAGCCTTTAAGGAGCTGCTGTGAAGAGAGAAGCTTTAGACTATACCTTGTTCCATTACTTGTCTTCTGTTCTCCACCTAATGACTTGAGAGCAAAAATCCAAGGCTTTCTTCTCATCCAAGCCAACTATCATTGTTAATATTTTATTGTGTGAGAGGAATGAAACAAGCATCTTTTCCCTCTGGTCAAACACTGGAAGGAAAGCAGCACACTGTTGAGCTTTTCAAAAAAGAACTGCAGGGCTGTACTGCAAGGCTAGGCCCCAGACAGCAGGGAAGCAACAGCAGGGCAATAGCTGACAGCAGCAGCAACACCAGGTCTATGAAGTCAAAACAGGGTTTCAGATACATCCTTGGAGTTGCTCTTCCCCATAGACAAGCTCTAGAGCTCCCTGATCAGCACTTGGATTGTTTGTAACACTCTTCTGAAGCTCCTTCCACCGCTTAGGTCTTTCTCAGATGACACAGGACTAGAGTTTTTTGATTTATTTTCCATACTAATGTGACATTGCCAACAAAGGGACAGTAAGTTATGCCACTGCTGCACAAATGAAAAGGTCCCTTTAATTTTCAGATAGCATAATATTTTATAGTCCTTACAGAAAGATCTTCCTGATTTATAAGGTTCCTGCCTAATTTCAATTACATTGCCAGATTCTCTCTTTGCTTATATATGAATTGGAGAGGCTTTTACTCAAAGGTTGCAGTTTGTGATTTTACTAAACATTGTCACCCAGCACCCAGGTGCAGCACTGTAACGTAACCACCACATGGGGGGCTGAGCGCAGGCATGTGGACCCCCCCAGGCATTTGAGAGCGTCTCTCACGAGCACGTTCCTGCTGCCTGACTCAGGGCGGGAAGGAGGCTGCACGCGCTTTCTCAAACTTGCCAAAGGGCCACATACGTAAAGCCAAGGAGTCAAGAAAATGGGCCAAGCCTTTGGCAAATCCAGCTCTCAGAGGAAGTCAGGATATTTCTACATCCTACCTCTGCTTTAAACAATGGCCAACTTCCTCCTTAAGGCAATGGAATACAAGTACTATTAGAAGCAGTAAGTATTGGTAAAAATTTATGATTTTAAGAAACTATATTAATAATTTGAAGTGTTAACTTGTTTCCAGTAAGTTTCCAGTTTGGGCAAGGTTTTATTAATAATTCTTTGCTTTTCCATCCCCCAGCATACTATATCGACAAGGTCAAGATTAGAGGTTACTATGCATTTAAACTGACTGAAGAAAAGTCTAAGCCCAGATTTGGATTCTTCACTTCTGATTCCAGAGGAAAGCCTTCGATAAAGTTTTACAACAACCTGATAAGCAATAATGGTTTTCCTGCCGAATATTCGATCTGCAATCCATCGAGCAAGGAAGACGAGTGCGGCTTCTGCTTGTTCGTTTCACAGAAGAAGCCGCTGATATTCTTTGCCTGCTGCCTTTTCTCTACTCTCATCTTGCTTTTAACAATTATTGTTTTTCACAAAAGAAAAAGAAGAAAACGTTATAAGCCAAAAGGTATCCAGCGCATCTGTGTTTCACTTTAAAGAGAGACTAAAAACCCACTTTCAAGTGCAGACGATCATATGGATCGGACAACTCTAGAAAAGCACTATGCGAGTCACTCCAGTTACACACACCAAGCATAATACCATATGCGTGCGGAGAGCTGTGATGTAAAAATACTTCTATCCACTTTCTGTACATAGAAGATGAATTTGATTATTTAAGAAAAAAACGACTCTCCTGCACCTTGAAATAAACTTTCAAACAGTTTGACTTGAAAAGGGATACTAAGCTGTGAGAACTGGCATGCACTTTTATACGAACCTCTTCAAATGGAAATTTGTTGTCATGTATATTCTTGTTATGAATGTTGGTGAGTATGAAACTGAAGTTGTGAGGGGTTGTAAATAAGACTTATTAAAAACCACAAACTTCAGTTGACTACAACATGAAGAATCCAAAATGCTGGGCTGGGTTCCACAGACACTTCCTAAAGAACAAATCCAAGTTAACTCCACGTTTGACCAACATAACTATCTGTTACATATTGGATGAAGCAGAAATGAGATTTCGACATCTTAGCTTAAGCAAGCGTAGCTGGACCCACAGGAGCCAAGTTATAATACTACTCAATCACTACCCTTCCAGAATAAGACAATTTTTTGTTGGACAAGACATTAAAATTAGCAGTATCTATATATCCAGCCCAGAGAATGAAGAATGTAATTCTAAATTGCACTTTTTCATAGAAATAAATATAAAATCTTATCTTAGCTCTGGAATATTGCCAGTGTGAGCCATGAGATGAATGGAATAAAACCATTAGTTGAAGTTATTTAGAAGCATTTATTCTATTAACAGTTCTGTGAAAATCTCTCTCATGAAAATGACTCCACATTTCTGCCCAAACAGCCTTTTTTTTTTTTGTGTGCTGCTAACACTTACTTCACAGATGCGTTACTTCACAGATTGAGGTAATATGAATTTTATCCCACCAAAAATATAATCTATTAATAACTTTCTCCCATGGTACTAGGGTTGACACACGTGTTTTCTCTGCTTTGCTTGGCTTTTTCTTTGTGCTGTTTTGAGTGCTGTAACACCTTGGCACATGCAGTTTCAACATTCACACTTGGCCATCAGGGACTCCTTTGCATCTGCAGTGGAAGCTCCCTTCAGCAGTATAAGCTCTACAGCATGGCAATGTTAAGTGTTAAATAGGAATATGTCCACATCCATATAAAATCCTGGTACACAAAAGCAAGTCTGTGACAGAAGACACCCTGAAACCAGCACTTCGGTTGCAGGCAGCTTCGAGCTCATCTCCCCTTTTCACAGCAATTATCACAGCTTACCTCTGCTTATTTCTGTACTACATTGTTTACTTGTGTTACTTTACACACTTCCGTTACCTGTCCCAACCCCAAGTCTCATTTCCTAAGTGCATGGCAGTATTTCTTCATTACGATTCAGTGTATGTTAGCATTGAAGAAGCTTCATTAAATTTAAGTCCTAGTGAATCGATTGGTGACTCTGGCTGAGGTTCTACTAGTGCAGCAAGCCATACATGTGTTAGAGATGCACATACCTCTTCAAGACCCAAGGACACTGACTGGTTATTACCCAAGGCAACTGGGGAGTCAAATTTATTGTGTGGAAACTGAAATGCAGCTGTAACAAGATACTCATCTCCAATTCCACGTTGATTCTAACAGCAGTTTAGTGCTACCATCTCAATGGCATGAGAACCACGTCTTAAAAATGGAAGGAAGCTGTACACAGCTTTCAAGTTTATAAAGTTAGTTCACTGTTTCAGGATTGCACACTAGTATCCCACATCCGTGGGAAATGAAAGCAAGTCAGTTACCTGATTCAGGACTATCCTGAGTGTGATGCACATGCAGAATCTTTCCTCAATATGGAGCTTTAGGAATTTGCTGCCAAATATGTTTTTGCATTATTCTCATCTCTTATTTTTCTCTCTCACAGTTTGAATACACCATGCAACAGCACAAAATCCTAGCAATTTGTTGCTACATTAAGACTAGCAACCGAGAAAGCCCACAGAATTACAATTCCCAGATGACACATATCACTATCATTGAAATTCAGCAATAGGCTCTACCCAAATTCAGAAGCAAATCCTTTGGTTTTCTTACATCACTAACATGGCAAAAACATTGTGTTTTCAGACTTACTCAATCTCTCTATCCAATTTAAATGCAATATTGCAGATTTAGTTCTACTGCTCCCAGATTGAGTTTATAACCTACTCCAGTTTCTATAATTGCAATTTCCCTATGGAAATCAACTTCACACCAGAAGTTCTCAGAGTATTTAAAAAAAAAAAAAAAAAGATATTGCACAGGTAAGAATACCCACAGTAATAAGTGTGTGCATAGCAACAATGCTACACTGTATCACCCTGTGAAATTCTCCCAAGTCAAACAAAGTAGTCTTGGAAAGATTAATATCAATCACCTTTTTTTTTTTTTTAAGAAAAAAACAAAATATGAAATAAGTTTTATTTTATTAAATCTCTCATCTTGTTCCATTTTTACATCAGATCCAGTTACTTGCTGATAAGGTGGTCTCCTGATGGTTTATTCATGGTGGTTTGTTTTAGGATCTGGACAACTGTAAATAAAAAGAGAACATTAAATAAAAATCAAAAGGATTTTGCACTACAAATGTGAAATGTAATTGATGGGACATATTAAATTACTTTTTCTGATAGTTTTAATGCAAGACAAAAACATCCAATTTCCTTAGGACTTCTGAACAGACCTGCACATATTTTTAGGGGCTTACAAAGAACTGAGCATCATTCAGACAAGTTGGCTTAATGGCTCCAGGCTCTTTAACAGGGGAAAAAAGTCCTTCCGCCTTCTCTTGAAGGACTCTTAAGAGCACTATTTTTTTCCATTAGCCTGTCTGGTGTTCAAAAACAAAACAAGCAAGAACACACAAAATGAGTTTATCTAGCTCATTATCTGGACCCTGTGTTTCAAATTGCAGTTCAGAAGCCAAATGCTTGATTTCAGCTCAAACTGTCTCATCCCTTGAGGATTTTGCACCATCCATGGAGGCATATATGGCTGAAATGCATCAGATTCAGTTACAATTCTTAAGTTATCTAAAAACTCTATACTCAGCCTTAATTATAAATGTCCTACGCAGTATTAAATATCTGTCATTGTTAAATTGACTTTCATTTATGAGTATTTACACATAAACCACACAAAATCACCTATTCATGTGCGTTCACCTCAAGTTTAAATTCTCCACTATTGTTTCTACTAGAAGCCACAGCATAAAACCAACCCCTTTTCTAGGGTTAGATGTTCTGTCACACAGTAGCATAAAACCAAGTTGGCAGAAGATGCAAAGCTGCTGATCAAGAACGCCAACAGAAATGAAGTTTTACGACATACAGACAGTTGCAAAAGCATAAGCACACACATACTGGCCAGCTGCTTGGCCACAGCCTTACTAGAGCACACAAATCTTTCCAGGTCCTCAAGTCAAACAACCTTCCACTACATGAGCTCCTCAGGCACATGGCCTTACATCCCTGTAACTCCCAGTTCCCAGGTTCCTTGTAATCACAGACTTTCAGCTCAAGAAACACATGAGCCTCACAAACACAGCACATTAACACCAAGATGCCAATATACATAATACCAACCTAGCTGAGTTTCACTCATCCGCCTGCTGCACGGTTCCCTTCTCAGAAACATAGATACCATCCAAGAACTTCCTGATATCCTTGTTCTTAACTGTAGTGGCCTGCTGGATCAAGGCAGCTACAGAGAAAGCAAAACAGTTAATATAGAAAGCAAAAAGTCCATCACTACCTCTAGCCTGTATGTGAGTGTGATCAACATGATCAGAGTGAGAGTGGTGATCAGCGGTGCAGAGTCTCGTTGGAGGCCTGTAGCTAGCGGTGTCCCCCAGGGGTCAGTCCTTGGTCCAGTCCTGTTTAATTTATTCATCAATGACCTGGATGAAGGCACAGAGTGCTCCCTCAGCAAGTTTGCTGATGATACCAAACTGGGAGGAGTAGCTGATACCCCAGAGGGCTGCACTGCCATCCAGAGGGACCTGGACAGACTGGACAAC